GTAATCAATTCATAAACAGAAAAGGTTTGTTTGGGCTCATTGTTTGAGGTAGGCGCATTGCTTTCAGGCTGGGGCGTGGGGAGGGCCAGTTCATCGTGGTGGAAAAGAGTGATGGAGAAGAACCATGTTGCTCATGACAGAAGAAACAGACAGGGATGCAGCACTCTTACAGGTGTACCCCAAACAACCTGGAGATGTCCCGCTAGGCCCAACTGTTTAAGGGTTCCATGGGGAAGCTGGGGCAAGAGAATTAAAAATTCCAGGATGGCCCCGGAACATAACACGACTCTCAAGTCTCAATTTAGAATAATTAATTCAGTTCTAAGGAGCTGCTTCTGTTACTGTGTAGGATAGCCTGGTCTCTCAAAACAACAAAGAAACAAAAGTTCCCCAACCTCCCAGAAACACCACCCTGAGGAACGCGATGTTTTATTTTTCTTAGTATTACAAAATACTTCTTGTTATTCTTTATTAACTTTGTTATCTGACAATATCATACATTTATATACTGTATTCCAGTTACCCCCCGGCTCAGCCTCTTGTGTTCCCGTCTAGTCCCTACCAGTTCCTCCCCAGGGTCACGACTTTTGGTTTTGTTTTGTGACCCATTTAGTTTAAACAGGACTACGGGAACAAGGTTCTGGCAATAGCCGTCTGGGGGATACTTTAGGTGAAAACCAAAGCAGGTGAGTTTGTCTTAGTCTGACCTATAAAAAACTTACTTCATCTTGTATTTGCTTAAGTTGGTAAAAGGAAGTCACAAGAACGGAATGACCAGGAACACTTGAAAGAAACTGCTTAGTGGCTTACATCAATGGCCTGTGAACCCTGTGTCAGCGATCCCAGAGCTCCCCTGCAGCTTTCTCAGCGGGACTTTGGGGTGCATGTGAAGGGAAAGGGTAGTTAGACAGACTGCCCCACTCCTAGGGTGTCTCCGCTCTGTGTACACTGAGAACTTCGCTGTGAAACCTGGTGAACATTCTTTAAACTAAATGTATTTTAATACAATTCAAATACACAAACGCACTACACCAAGGCAACTGAATAATAAGAGATATTTTGCTTTATGGTTTCCCAACGGGAAATAGTTTGTACTCCCAGGTCCCCTTGCACATAGTTGTTGGGGGGAAGCACTTAGGAAGACTGTGAGTATGCTGGGTTTTTCAGTACTAGTAGAGGGAATTTATGTATACCCCGTATTTCTGAAGACATGTCTGTGTGACTATAAATAAATTAAGAATAATGGTATTGAGGCATGAGACTGGATTTGAGACCAAAATCAAGCTGAAGGGCAAGCCTCTGAGGCGGACCACCACTGTAAATAAAACTTTCGTCATTGTCAAGGATCCATTTAGAATGATTTAGCTTTAGGGGAGATAGCCGTCTTTCTCTGGTCGGCCTCAGACTGCATAAACTCCATGGGGCAGGGATGGGCCACGCTGGCTCTCCTGTGCTGGGCCTGGCTGCAGGCGCCAGAGGCGGAGGCCAGGCTGCAGGCGCCAGAGGCGGAGGCCAGGCTGCAGGCGGGAGGCCAGGCTGCAGGCGCCAGAGGCGGAGGCCAGGCTGCAGGCGCGGAGGCCAGGCTGCAGGCGCAGAGGCCAGGCTGCAGGCACCGGAGGCCAGCGGTGTGGTGAGCTGAACTTCTAACAACAATGCACAAAATACTGGGATTCTGATAATTTAGAACCCATTAATAGTTCCTCTCTACAAGTTATTTGGCTTTGAAAAACATACAATAAGACTCTTTTTTTTTTTAATTCATGAAAAGGAAGTTTGTGGTTCATGTTAATAGTTGATTTCTAGACTTTTTCCCTTTACTCAATAAATGTGGAATCACTACATAAAGAGTGTTCACTTGAAAGACACACCCTCCAGGAGCCCCTTCATGTCATATCCCTTAATAAGCAACGAAGAAAGGGGATGTGGGTACAGGAGAACCGAGAAGGACCCAGATCATGAGAGGCTCTGAGGACCAGATGTCTCACTTAGGTGTCCTGTTACTGTGACGACCACCACGGCAAAAGCAACTTGTGAAGGGCATGTTTCAGCTTACACTTCCACATCACAATCCATCTCCGCAGGAGGGCAGGGCAGGAGCTGAGGCAGGAACCTGGAGCCAGGAGCTGAGGCAGAGGCCATGGAGGGCTGCTGCTTGCTAGCTTGCTCCCCATGGCTTGCTCCGCCTGTTTTTTGTATAATTCATATACCACCTGCCCAGGTATGACACTGCACGCAATGGCTGGGCCCTCCCACATCAATCATATATCAAGAAAATGCCCCACAGGCTTGCCTACCAGCCAGTCTAGTGGGGGTGTTTCTCAACTGAACTTCCCTTTTCCCAAATAACTCTAGTTTGTGTAAAGTTGACATAAAAACTAGCCAGCACGCTAGGCAAAGCCATCTGGACCCCAGAAGCCAGGTGATGGTTGCAGGAGGTTTAATGACTCTCAGGGTTTCTAGCAGAGCTGAGCATCTGCTCAGGGCTACAAAGAGAAACCCTGTCTCAAAAGTTTAAAAAAAAAAAAAAAGGGAGGAGGAGGAGGAGGAGGAGGAGGAGGAGGAGGAGAGAGAAGAAAGAAAGAAAGAAAGAAAGAAAGAAAGAAAGAAAGAAAGAAAGAAAGAAAGAAAGAGAGGAAGGAAGGAAGGAAGGAAGGAAGAAAGGAAGAAAGAAAGAAAGAAAGAAAGAAAGAAAGAAAGAAAGAAAGAAAGAAAGAAAGAAAGAAAGAAAGAAAGAAAGAAATGCAATATTTGTACAAAATAAAAGTGAACCACCCACTCTCCTATTCCACACACAACGTCAATTACTTGTTCAAAGGTCACAAACCATGAAGGAAACCTGTCTTTGAGCTACATTTAGAAGACAGCTAGATTTAAACAGTTTCGGTTAACCAGTCGAGACTGAATTGCTGAGAACTGTCATTCTTCAAACATTCTCTACAAGAGTGGTTTTAAAACAGCTCCCTAGTATTTGCCCTTATACCACAAAAAGCGTACACCTCCTCCCACTTGAAATATAGCTATCCGGTAGGTCAACTGGGCAGCCTCTCATGCTCTTAGGTTTTGTTTCCCAAAAATGATCACAGAAGTACTGTTTGTTTTAACTTGACCTGTCTTTTGCAACCCAGCTTAATCATTTTACAGGTTTTCTTTGGAAATGAATGAGCCAGATAGTTGAATAATAATGGTAGGGTTTTTTTCCATTTCAATGATGTGAATAAAAGAAATACTGGTAGTAAAATCATGTATAAAATTTTTCTTTCTTTTAACAAATTCAGTATCAAAGTACTGCTAACTAGAACCTTACTAATTTAAAGTAAGGGACACCATTGCCAGTGTGATCAAACACTCTGACTTATCGGACTGTTTAGATGTCTCTTCATCATCATCATCAACATCATTATCATTATTATAGATAGGTCTCATGTTGCCCAGGCTGGTCTCAAACTCACTAATGGCTGAGGATGACCTATAGTTTCTGATCCTCCTGCCTCTACCTCCTGAGTGTTGTGATTACAGATGTACATGACCACACCTGATATTCATGTGAGGCTGGGGCTCAACCCAGGCCTTGAACATGCTAAGTAGGCACTCTACCAACTGAAATACACCTCCAGCTCCCAGTCATTTGTTATCTTGAAATCCAATACATATCATATAGTAACATACAAATGAATACTAACAAATGGAAAATGTAAATAACATTTTCTAATGAACATAAAATATAAAAATAAATTTAATTAAAAATCTAAAAATAATCTTTTGCTTAATTTTACTTAATTATAAATGAGCTATGAAAATCAACTGTTGTGAGGTGTAGTTGCACATGCTTCTAATCCCAGTACTTGGGAGGCAGAGGAAGGTGGATCTCTGTGAGTTCAAGGGCCTGGTCTACAGTGAGTTCCAGGACTGCCACAGCTATATAGAGAGACCTTGTCTCCAAAAATCAAAAATTGTTTTAAAAAAGAAGAAAATCAACTGTCATGGGAAATACTACTCATCTCTATTCATATTGAGCTCTTGTACTAAACTATTGAAATCCTCACTGAAAAGCATAAATGTTTAAAATAAAATATTCTATGACTGCACGCAAATTTTAGAAGAGTGAAACATGGATTCATAGATACACAAGCCCTCTTAAGCACTAAGTCTGATTGGCTAGGGAATAACATGAGCTTCTCTGCTGGGTTTCTAGGCAGTCACAATGTTTTTTTCCATCTCGTGCCCTGTTTCTTCTCTATACTGGGATGGACCAGGGGCTCTAGTTTTTGGACCATCTCTGCAGACCTACATGACCCTTGGCTATAACCAGTACCAAGGATTGTACTGCCACTTCTCTAGGTCAGATTCATCCTATCTATCTATCTATCTATCTACCTATCATTTATTTATTTATTTTTTCTAGACAGAGCTTCTCCGTGTAGCCCTGGCTGTCCTGGTTCTCACTCTGTAGACCAGGCTGGTTTGGAACTCAGATCTGCCTGCCTCCACCTCATGAGACCTGGAATTAAAGGCTCAGTCAAACTAATTCTAAAACCATCATTTAAAATGAAATCCAGGTGAGTCTTCCATCAATCTCAGAAACAAATGACACCTGCCAGAATCAAGTTTGAAAGTGGCTGGGTGTCAGAACAGAGGGCCTGGCTGAGAGAAGGAAAGCCAGAGGTAAAGCCACTCCTGGCTCCCAGCACTGAGCCTTCCTGCACATTGGCAAGCACCCAGATTAGGACCCTTTGACTTGTATTCACAAAAATAAATTCCTGGGTCTAAGTTGATGTTAAACACCCCTGCCTTTATTACTGGACCTGACAGGATGTTAAAATACGTTTTATGTTCATTAAAACATCCTCTTGTGCCCATTTCTGATTTTAACCTTCTCACTTAGAGATCTTTCTCTCTGGCATTAATAATTAACCAGAGAACTAATTTACCCACACTCCTCAAATTCAGTTTACTTAAAAGAAAAGTAGCTACAAGAAGGTTGTGCCCATGGTTTTTTGCCACTTCCAGCCATGGGCCTTTGGGGAACACTTTGCTTTTTAATTTTCCTGGGCAGAACTTGGGGACAGGAACAAACGTAAGTAGAACAAGTCATCTTCACTTTTCTGGGCATCGTAGTTGCAGTGAGCGAAAAGGAGACTCAGGGTCGTGTTAACTCGACAGTACCTGTCCCCTCCTGAAACAATAAAAGGATAGTCTCAGCAGCCCATGAGAGAGCCATGGACCCATCTGGATTTGGTGAGCAGCTAACAACACAACTGTTCCTGTGGGACTGTTATCTTTAAAAATGACAGAGATGATTATTCATTTTCCTAGTCAGCAAAAAGTGCACAGTAAAACCAAGACAGTCAATTTCTTGGCATCTATTACCATTTGTACTTGGTGCTTAGTTCAAGCTTTTCTTGGTCTGTACTCAGAGTTAAGCCAGAGTAACTTGAATATGGTGGTCTTATAAAAGCAATTGCTAACAATCATAATTTTATTTTAATGATGTATAAGATTGCTTTATAGTGGGTCAGGAAGCATTCCCACTAACTTATGGTTGTAACTACTTCCACATTCATGAACCAGTTCATCATAATTTTATTGTTGCCAGAATCTTGTCCTTATAAATAGTGCTATCATGTACAAAGTATTGGGAGTTAACTGAACATTATCTCATTGAACCTATTTTTCTTTTCTTTTTTCTTTTAAGATGAGGTTTCACCATGTTGTCTAGGATGATCTCAAATCATATGACCACGTGAACCTCTGCCTTCAGCCCCCTGGCTAGCTGCTACTATAGGCATTTGCTACTATGCAGAGCCTGCTCAGTCCACATACGACAGGAAATCCATGCAGGGAAAGTGACTAGCCAAAGGTCGCATTGCTAAGGAGAGAGGATTTTTACTGTGGTCTCCTGTTTATCACTTCAGTTCCTCCCAGACCCTGTCAGAAATGCATCTGTAGAAATTCAAGTGTAAAGGAAATGTGGACTAATGCCATAAGCTTGCCATACATGTCTGCTCTGAGATGTTATTGCAAGGCCACAGTCACCCCACTACCTTAGCTACTTTTATATATTCCTTTTTGACACATAAGCAGTTGAAGTTCAGGGACATCAAGATTAAACTCCAGAACCTGGACCCTCATGATTCTTGTCCAGGAGTATTCAGGATTTTCCTGCTCTACTGACTGCATTGGTCCATACTATGGCAGTTATTTCCTCTCTCCGAGAACGTGAGGAGCCTCATACTAATTAGCTTTCTTGCCACTGTGACAAAATACTGGACATCAGCAACTTAAAAGAGGAATTTATTTTGCTCTGATGTCAGAGGTTTTAGTCGATCACGGCAGAAAGGGTGGCAGACCGGGCAGCTCCTATGGGGCAGCTCAGAAGTGGAGAGAGAATGCTTGCCCAGATCCCTGCCGCCCCACTTTGCATGTGATCCCTTGGCCTATGGGACATTGTCATTATCCACATTCAAGGTATGTGGATGGCATTCCTTAGTGAACCCTTCCTGAAAACAGCATAGACACAACTAGCCAGATGTATTTACTAAGCTCTGAGGCATTTTCCAGTGCAAGACAGATGACAATCAAGCCAACCATCACGCCACCTACTTTGTGATAGGTTCTTGAGGGCAGAAGACAGCTCCTAGAGCTTGCATTCTAGTTGAAGAAGTGGATAATGGATGAATGAATGAATCAGTGAAAGAGTGAATGAAAAGGACAGATAGTTTTAGCAGTGTGGACAGAACAGGAGAGTACAGAAACCGAAGGCCACCGGCTAAGGCTGTGGATGGAAAAGGCTCTCTCACAAAGGTGATAAGCAGATAGAGCCTGGAGGAAATGTTTGCAGAAAAAACAGAAACAACCCAAGTAATATCCCTGTCTCTCTGCAAGCTCAATGGCCTGAGCTCCTTAGAGTGCAGAAAAAAATACACACAATTCCTGGCATGCACAGACTGCGTTGCTGATGCATCAATACAGACCAAAGTCTAAATGAAGGGAAATTCCACAGCCAGCATTAAAAACACATATTTATTGGTGTATGGGGGGTAGGCATGCGCATTGCACAGCAGACATGGGGAGGTCAAGGAACCCCTTCCTAGCGTCAGTTCTCTCCTCCCACTGTGTGGGTTTATGGATCAAACTCCCGCCCTCAGTCTTGGTGACTTTGTATTTCAATTACTGTCTTTCTAAACCAACCTCTTAGCTGTTGCTTACGTTTAATTACAACCTGTTCCTTCCCAGAAAACTTGTGTTTTCCATCATAATAAATTTCGACTTTCAAATATAACTTTAATTTGATTTTTTTTTTTTTTTTTTTTTTTGGTTTTTCGAGACAGGGTTTCTCTGTGTAGCTTTGCGCCTTTTCCTGGAACTTGCTTTGGAGACCAGGCTGGCCTTGAACTCACAGAGATCCGCCTGGCTCTGCCTCCCGAGTGCTGGGATTAAAGGCGTGCGCCACCACCGCCCGGCTAATTTGATTTTTTTTTAACACAAGGTTTCTTTGTGTAACAGCCTTGGGTGTCCTAGAACTCACTCTGTAGACCAGGCTAGCCTCAAACTCAGAGAAACACCTGCCTCTGCCTCCTGAGTGCTGGGGTAAAAGGCATGTGCCACCACTGCCCAGCTTAAAATATGTTTTTAAAATTAATCTTGGGCTGGAGAGATGGCTCAGCGGTTAAGAGCACTGGCTGTTCTTCCAGAGATCCTGAGTTCAATTCCCAGCACCCACATGGTGGCTCACAACCATCCGTGATGAAATCTGGTGCCCTCTTCTGGCCTGCAGGTGTATATCCAGACAGAACACTGTATACATAATAAATAAATAAATCTTTTAAAAAAAATAATCTTGAGTGAAATAAAAAAATATCAGAAGTGTAAGAAAACCTGCAAGGGTAGTGAGCCTTTTCTTTTCCTATTTCAACAGCTATGTCATTTCAGCACCCAAAATCTTTCGGGTGGCAGCATCTGAAAATGTTGTAATTCAAGCCCATGGCTATACTGAAGCATTTGATGTGACAATCTCTATAAGAAGCTATCCTGATAAAAAAATTACCTACTCTTCAGGCTATGTTAATTTATCTCCAGAAAATAAGTTCCAAAACTCGGCAATGTTAACAGTAAGTATTTATCCTTCATTTTCTTTATGTATTTTTGGCAAAATTTGTGCAAAGCTTGAACACTGATAAAATTATAGTCATTAGTATTGTTCTACAGTTGTGTGATTATGAGATGGTTAACAGACATTATTAGTGATGAGTGAAACAGAAAACTCTGAACAGAAAAATTACATTTGCTTTTTTGAGCCAAGTGTACCTATGCCCTTAAAAAAATCCTTAAAAAAAATATTCTCTACAAAAACATTTGGAGATGAACTGAAAATACTTTTGAGGTTAAAATTAGGAAAGGAGAGATATTAATTGAATGTGCATATGGGTGCTTGTTGAATATTTGTTAAACCTCACTGTTCTCAAATTGTACATATAGTTGCTATGGAATTGTTGACTACTGTAGCCAACAACTCTCACTGAAAACACACAATGAATAAAAAGAACAAACTGATTAAGAAACTTCCTTTCATTGAGACATTTTGGTTCAGATTGGTTAGAAGCATGATTTCAACTTTTTTTTAAGCATGTTTATTGTGGGTACTGATGGGTTTCATCAAGACAAATTCTTTTAAGTGTGTAATGTGCTGTGACTATATTTATCCCCCTCAGTCCCACCTCATCCACTCTCCCTTTTCTCCCCCTTCTGTTAGCTTGCTTCCTACTTGGGCTCCCACTTTTTTTTTTTTTTTTTTTTTTTTTTTTTTTTTGGTTTTTCGAGACAGGGTTTCTCTGTGTAGCTTTGGAGCCCTGTCCTGGAACTCACTCTGTAGTTCAGGCTGGCCTGGAACTCACAGAGATCGCCTGCCTCTGCCTCCCGAGTGCTGGGATTAAAGGCATGCGCCACCACCGCCCGGCTGCGCCACCACTGCCCGGCGGCTCCCACCTTTTTATGACAAGGAACTCTTGAGGAGAGAGGGATAAGAGCACCAGGTAGAAATAGAGAGATAGAAAGATAGAGGGGAGAGAAAAGATAGAAACGCAGGATAGCCTCTGGAGGGCCTGGATCCTTATCTACTGGCCCCTTCTGTCTCTTCTAATGGGATATTTATAGGAATGCTAAGGGGTGGAGCAAAGACCTCCTGCTAGCTCAGCCAAGTGTAGACCCTTCCAATCACCTAACCATGCACATGGTCAAGCAATCCCCTAATGCAGCCCTGCTGGGTAAAGCAAACTCAAATCTCACTAGGAAACCATTGTGGACCTCCATAATTCCCCTTCTTAATTTAATAAAGGGACCCCCAGGCCCCTCAGATATACTGTGCCTGTCTTAGGTTGTCCATCTTGATTATCTTCCTTACTCGTCATGGAGATACACTTTCCATCAAGCATACTCTGGCATAGGATGGAAGCTACCAAGAGGAAAGTTGCCTGTCTTTAGCTACCAGCCTCTGGCAGAAGGAAGTACTCTCTGACCCAGGTCCCTGTTTTAGGACCTTGCAAACATCCACAGCCTTCTCCATAGCTGCCACACCTCCCAGTAAAGGAGTAGAGGATAATAAAGATGGAATATCCTGTTTAGAATGGATCTAAGGTTACTATAGCAGTCTCAGCTGCACCAAGACCTTTTCCTGTATCAAAACTCTCTCCTAACAGATGTTCAATAAAATTTTCAAGAAATTTTGATTCCCAGAAGAAAAGTCATTTCAAAACACTTCAAAGTATCCACTAAAGTAAACAAAAACCCATACTAATTATAAAGACACTTTTACAAACTAACTCAAGTGTGAGAGTCTTATCCCTTTGTGGGAGGCCTACTCCTTTCTATACAGAAACAGAAGGAGTGGAAACTTATAAGAAGAAGACAGAAAAACTCCCCTAATTATAATACATTCACTTAAGTTTTCCAGGGGCCATTGGGACTGTAAAATTATATTTTGGGCTATTATAAATGTGCTTAAATATATCTAGTATAAACATTACTATACATATTTACAACTAGCATGAATATCATTATACTACTATACTTATTTACACTCTACAAGCTTGCATTCAAAAGAAAACTCTACTATACATATTTACACTTTTACAAACTGAATATCACTATATATTTACACTTTTTACAATCTTACATTCAAAAGGAAACGCTATAGAACTCTTACAAACTTTAACACATATCTAGAAGAGATTTTCTTAACAGAACTAACTTACACTAGAAAGAATTTCTTAACAGAACTAACTTACATTCAAAATCAAACTCTATTAGCAAACAACTAGAAGAGATTTCTCAACTGAACTAATAACAAGACAGGAAGTACATAAATCATTTCTGAAGTTCAGAGTTTATAATCAGCTTTGATATTATTCTGAAAGTTTTCTTGAGAGTTTGAAGTCAGAGCCTGATTTATCAGTGGCTCTTAAACTAGACCGAGGGTAAAATTCTCTCTTCTTAATTTTTTAAAGCTGCTTTTTAAGATTACCATGAGCCTTTTTAAATGATGCCGATATTTTCCTCTTGCTAAAAATGCAACTCAATCCTGTAAGTGTTTTTCATACCCAAAGCAGTTTCCCAGTATAAGGACTGTTTTCCCTTGTTTTCTAAAGGATTTCAAAGTGAGTTGTTGGCGAATGGTTTTAGCATTTTAATTATCTCCTGAGAGGCAAGCTGTTTGCCTGTCCCTAGTTCTCAGGAGGTAAGGTTAAGCTTTCTAACATCTCTTGGAAAAGAAATGGCATTTTGAGCAGAGTTTTGGGGCATTGCAGTATTGGCATTTCTGTTGCAGCCTACATTTCCCAAACTGCCTTTCTCTATATTGTCACACTGTTACAAGCCACATTATAGACTACATTTCCCAAGCTGCCTTTCTCTATATCATCACACTGTTACAAACAAATTACATTTCCCATGCTTCCTTTTGGGTCCAGGAGAAAACTTCCATTTGTACAGTCTGTATTCATGCCAAAATCAAGCTCCTGCTTTTACCATGGGAGATTTTTTTTTTCTTCCCTAAGCTTGTATTAGGATGCCTATATTACTGTTTGACAGGTATACCTCTCTAATCAGATTTTTCACCTGCCACTGTTCCTGGAGCAGGTCACACCTGTCCAAGTATACTCAGATAGGTATTTGTTGCCAGAAACGAAAATCCTTGAGTGCTTCACTCCCCTGCCTCATTGAGTCAGTGAAAAGAAATGATAATAGGAAAAAAGAGCTTTTTTCAGAAAGATCTTTTCTCTGACAGAAAAAGTAAAGAAAGAGCTTTTGTAAAGAGACTTTTTCACAGCCATTGGTGCTGCATAGCCCCACCTACCAGCTTGGGGCTTGCAGTCAGGTGGGGAACTGTCACCATTCCTGCTGGCCTTGTTTGTATGGCCAATTTTTTTTATACTATCAGCTTTTCCTGGGTCCTGCACCATCTCTGTCTCTGCTCCACTTTTGAGGAAGCTGCGTGATGACTGTAGGGATCTTAGTATCCCTGGAATGCACTCACACTCAGAGGTGCTTGCTCCCTGGCCCCTCACTAATTGCTTCCTGATTGCTGGTTAGAACTGGAGATACAATGGTAACAGTAAGGATTAGCAATGCTTCAGATTTTTTTCTGTGCTAGGGCAGTTATGAGTGATTCTCCCATTCTGATAGATGTTTCTTCCAGGTGAGTTTAATTTTTTCTTTTCTTTTTATTAAGAGATTTTTCTATTCATTTTATATATCAACCATGGATTCCCCTGTCCTTCCTCCTCCCACCCCCAGCCTTCCCTCCCAACCCACCCCCCATTCCCACCTCCTCCAAGGCAAGATCTCCCCTGGAGATTCAGCAGAGCCTTGTACACTCAGTTGAGGCAGGTCCAATCCCCTTCTCCCTGCACCAAGGCTGAGCAAAGTATCTCAGCATAGGCACTAGGTTTCAAAAAGCTGGTGTAAATGTAACGGTCTTATTAAATAAGATACACAGAGCCAAATGCAGAGTTAAAAGCCCAAGAGGTGAGAGCAGTAGTTGAGACTAAAACTGCCTTCTTACCACCCACTGCCACTGCCGTCCTTCCCCTGAGAAAGAGACCTACTTCCTGTGTGGCTTTTTATTGACTTTCTGTTCTGCCTTCTCATTGGTTGTAAACCCAACCACATGACCTCCTCGTCACTGCCTGTCTATACAGACCTCCAGGTCTTCTATGGTTGGTATTGAGATTAAAGGCATGTGTCCTTGAACACACAGAGATCTGCCTGTCATGTGATCGGGATTAAGGGCGTGTGCTACCACTGCCAGACTTCTGCTATGGCTTGCTCTCTGACCCCCAAGCACTTTTATTTATTAACATACAAATAAAATCATATTTCATCACAAACAAAATATCACCATATGCTGGCTCATGCACTAAGGACAGGTCCTGGTCTCACTGCCTGGGGGCCCCCTAAACAGTTCAAGCTAAACAACTGTCTCACTTATCCAGAGGGCCTAGTCCAGTTCCATGGGGGTTCCTCAGCTATTGATTCATAGTTCATGTGTTTCCACTAGTTTGGCTAGTTGTCTCTGTATTTTTTCAATCATGGTCTCGATATCTCTTGCTCATATGATCCCTCCTCTCTCTCATCAATTGGACTCCTAGAGCTCCACCTGGGGCTTGGCCATGGATCTCTGCAGATGCTTCTATCAGTTACTGGATGAGGGTTCTATCATGACAGTTAGGGTGTTTGGCCATCCAATCACCAGAGTAGGTCAGCTCAGGCACCCTCTCAACCATTGCCAGTAGTCTATAGTGGAGTCATCTTTGTGGATTTCTGGGGACCTCTCTAGCACTCTGCTTCTTCCTATTCCCATGGTGTCTTCATTTATCGTGGTATCTCTTTCCTTGTTCTCCCTCCCTGTTCTTGATCCAGCTGGGACCTCCCGCTCCCCTAAGCTCTCTTTCCCCCAATGCTTGCCCTCCATTACCCCCCACCACCCCCAGTTTGCTCATGTAGATTTCATCCATTTCTCTGTTGCTGGGTTATCCCTGCATCTTTCCTAGGGTCCTCTTTACTAGCTAGCCTCCCTGGAGCTGTGAGTTGCAGTCTGGTTATCCTTTGCTTTACA